GTGAACTAATGTGCATTGCCTTGCATTGGATCGCCCTGAATTTCGTCAACCATAGTGACGATAACTGACTATTTCTAAATATTCTGTTGTCTCTAATCCATATTCTAATCAATAACAGTACTTTCTCACCCATAATTAACTAATTTTTCTTAATGGCTTCTTAAGACGGTCAATTTTTTTTGAAAGTCAAAATAACTTATAACAAAGTTATTCACTTTAAAATTCTAGATAGTAAAAAATGGTAGATTAGAGAGAAGAACAAATTTGCTTCACAGAAGCCCAGCTGGTTTGTCCATATCATCTCTTCGTCTATGTGTATTATAATTCTATTTTTAATTTTTTTAAATGAAATTTACTTGATACTGAAATAACACTCACTCGTGTCATTTCCAGAATCACTGTAGCACCTTTATAAAATTCAATTACAAAGTTTGCTGCTCTCTAACCTCTGGTATAGAAGCCAATTTTAAGGCGATTCCTTATTATTATTAGCAATTCAACCACTTCATTCTTAAATTACTTCAGAACTCTTGGGTACATACTATCCAGCCCTCAGAAATGGTTGTTCTTTACCAGAGTGTTCTAGCATCATCTCTTTTAATATCACCATTTCTGAAATTATCTCAGCTTTATTATCTGAAATGAATAAGTCCAGGTTAGGTGTCTCCCAAACATCCTCCGCTCTGAAGACTGATGCAATTAAATAATTTTACTTCTCTGCATTGTTATTACCCTTGTCAATTGCTCATTTTTTTCCCTGGTAGTTCAGTCAACTTATCAATTCTTTCATAAGTTGCTTGCTTCTGAAGTACTTAAAAAAATTCTTTGTTTTAGTCTCTTCAGCTATTTGCTTTATATATACCTTTTTGACTGGATTTCCATTTTCTCAGGGATACCAATTTGACTTAAATAATCTCTTGAACCTTGCAGTTTAACCATACTGGTTATTTCCTTGGCTTCCTACATCTTCTTTTGGGGCTTGATACTGCAAGGTACTCTGGCCCCAGTCCAGCAAAACATTTAAGTATATGGTGACTACACACATGCTTAAATTAAAGTAGGGTTACCATACGTCCGGATTTTCCCGGACATGTCCGGCTTTTGGGGGCTCAAATCCCCGTCCAGGGGGAAATCCCCAAAAGCCGGGCATGTCCGGGAAAATCGGGAGGTCAGCCGGGCCGGCGGAGAGCCGGGTCGGCCGGGCCGGCGGGGAGCCGGGTCGGCTGGGCCCGCGGGGAGCCGGTCAG